AAAAAGAAAAAAGCTGGAAGTGGCGCTGTGGCTCAAGTGGCAGAGCGCCACTTGAGCTGAAGAGCTGAGGAACAGTGCCCAGGCCCAAAGTTCAGGCCCCACGACCGGACCACCCCCCCCCCCCCAAAAAAAAAGACTGGATTTTCTGGGGCTGGGAAGGTGATTCAATAGAGAGTGCTTGCCTTGCATGCATGAGGCCCTGGGTTCGATTCCTCAGCACCACATAAGCAGAAAAAGCCAGAAGTGGCGCTCTGGCTCAAGTGGTGAGCGCTAGCCTTGAGCTGAAGAGCTGAGGGACAGTGCTCAGGCGCAGAGTTCAGGTCCTATGACCAACAACAACAACAAAAAAGACTGGATTTTCTTTCTTTTTCTTTTTTCTTTTTTTTGGGTCCAGTTGAGGGCCTGAACTCTGGGCCTGGTCGCTGTCCCTCAGCAATTCAGCTCAAGGCTAGCGCTCTACCACTTGAGCCACAGCGCCACTTCCAGCCTTTTTCTTTTTGCTTCTGTGGTGCTGAGGAATCGAACCCAGGGCCTCAGGCATGCAAGGCAAGTGCTCTACCACTGAGCCTCCTTCCTAGCCCCTGGATTTTCTTTCTAGATATTTTCAAATACTACCTAATATTCATAATTTAGGCAATCATGAAAAGAACAGTTTATATCTTTTGATGCTGAAGCTGCAATTTTTGGAAAATTAAATGGCATATAGCATTTCAAAGGAAATTTCATTTAGTATTAAGAAAAATCAGGGCTGGGAAGTTGTATCAGTGGTAGAGCACTTGCCTTGCATGCATGAGGCCCTGGGTTGGATTCCTCAGCACCACATAAGCAGAAAAAGCTGGAAGTGGTGCTGTGGCTCAAGTGGTAGAGCGCTGGCCTTGAACTGAAGAACTGAGGGACAGTGCCATGGCCCAGAGTTCAGGCCCCATGACCGACCAAAAAAAAAAAAGAAAAACCATATGAAGTTGCCATTTTTACAATTCAGATAACCAACTATTAGCAATTTTATACAGCTCAACTAAATTTTTTTTTTTTTTGTCGGTTGTGGGGCTTGAACTCTGGGGCTTGGGGCAATGTCCATGTGCTCTTCAGCTCAAGGCAAGCGCTCTACCGCTTGAGCCACAACACCAATTCCGGTTTTCTAGTGGTTTATTGTAGATAAGAGTCTTATGGAGTTTCCTGCCCTGGCTGGCTTGAACCAAGATCCTCAGATCTCAGCCTCCTGAGTAGCTAGAATTACAGGCGTGAGCCAACAGAGCCCGGCTTTCAACTAAAATTCTTATATTCTATATACATGAATTCAGCTGTAATGCAGAGTAAATTTCATCAATTAGGAGTTAGTTTATGATTACACACTAGTTTGTGATTACAACACATTGTGTATGTGTGTGTGCACGTAGATGGGTGTACCAGTACTGAAGCTTGAACTCAGAACCTGGGTGCTGTCCCTTAGTTTTTTTTCTCAAGGTTAGTACTCTACCATGTGAGTCACAGCTCTACTTCCATCTTTTTGGTGGTTAATTGGAAATAAGTCTCATGGACCTTCCAGCCCCTGCTGGCTTTAAACATTAATCCTCAGATCTCAGCCTCCTGAGTAGCAAAGATTACAGGCTTCAGCCATCAGCACCCAGCTTGAGTACATGATCGAGATTCGTTGTATTCATAAACCACTTTGTTGAAAGGCAACTCCTTTGTACAACTACTTAAAAGACATTAAAAAAAAAAAAGGTTTTGGGGTTTTGTTCAATACTATGCACCAGAGGAAACACTTAGAAAGTCATTGTTGACTGGGGGTGTGGCTGTGGTAGAATGTGTACAAAATCCTGAGTTCAATTCCTAGATGGAAGGAAGGGACTCGGCAGAAAGGGAAGGAGAAAGGGAAGAAAAGAAAGAAGAGCAAAGTTGTCTATTAATTAGAAATGCAAATAGATTATAGGGGGTAGTTCTGTACACTTGTAATGCCAACCCTTGAGGCAGGAGAATTCTGAGACCAAGGTCATCCTGGGCTACATAATGAGATGCTGTCTTAAGAAAGTAAGAAAGAATTAACTAACCTTTTCCTCCAACACAAGGTGCCTTTGAGTTAGAGTACAGATGGGAGTAAGTATGCATGTTATTCTCTTAAAATGATAAAAGGTTTAATTTTAAAACCTAATTTACTCAAAAGATCTGAAAACAAGCCGGGCACTGGTGGCTCATGCCATTAATCCTAGCTACTCAAGAGGCTTAGATATGAGGATCACGGTTCAAAGCCAGCCTGGGCAGGTAAGTCTGTGAGACTCTTATCTCTAATAAAACACTCAGGGGCTGGGAAGGTGGCTCAGTGGTAGAGCGTTTGCCTTGCATGCCTGAGGCCCTGGGTTCGATTCCTCAGCACCACATAAGCAAAAAGAAAAAAGCCAGAAGTGGCGCCTTGGCTCAAGTGGTAGAGCACTAGCCTTGAGTTGAAGAGCTGAGGGACAGTGCCCAGGCCCAGAGTTCAGGCCCCACGACCGGACCCCCCCCCAAAAAAAATAAATAAATAAAAAATAAATAAAACACTCAGAAAACCGGAAATGGAGCTTTGGCTCAAATGGTAGAGAGCTTGCCTTGAGCTGAATTGCTGAGGGACAGCACCCAGGCCCAGAGTTCAAGCCACACACACACACACACACACACACACACACACACACACACACAAAACTTGTGCATGATATTCATAAATAGTATTTTTACAATAGCCCCAAAGGAGAAACCACTTCAATTTCTATCAGCTGATAAATGGATAAAAAGAAAACTGTTATATCCATGCAATGGAATATTATTCAGTCAGAAAAAGTGAAGTGCCGATATATGCTATGAGTGAAACTTGAAAACAGTAAGCTAAATGAAGAGACCAGACACAAAGGCCACATACTGTTTTATTTATTCTTATAAAATATCCAGAATAGTCAAATCAACAAAAACAGAAAGTACATTAGTGACTGCCTGGGCTGGGGACAGGGATGAGGAAATGTGGAATGACTACTGGTGGGTATTGGGTCTTTTTTCTGGAAATAATAAAAATGTTCTGGTGTTAGAACATGGTGATGATGGTTTTACATCATTGTGAAGATTACTATAAGCCATGGAGTTGAATGTTCACTTTTCAAAGATGAATTTTCAGTATGTAAATCATTTCTTCTGTGTGTGTGTGTGTGTGTGTGTGTGTGTGTGTGTGTGGTGCTAGGCTTCAAACCCAGGATCTTAGTGGAGCTGTGGCTCAAAGTGGTAGAACACTGTCCTTGTGCAAAAGAGCTCAGGGACTGCATCCAGGACCTTAGTTCAAGTCCCACCACCACCACCACCACCACCACCACCACCACCACCACTAACAACAAGAACAACAAAAAACACCCCAGGATCTTAAGCACCCTAGCAGGGTGCCCTACCATGGAGATGCATCCCCAGATCCCCTGTTCTTCTTTTTTTTTTTTAAATGGGGGAAAACCTCTTAGGATTTCCTTTTCAGAACATGTCAAAACACATTATAAAATAATCTACATGTGTTTACAAATCTGGGAGCATTAGGAAATGTTCCCTTGTTTAATTATAAACCCTTTTGGAACGTTTGGCGAGTTCAGTAATTTGACAGGGAACATTAAGAAGATTATCCTGACTTCCCAATGTTAATATCAAATTAAAGTGAAACATTCAAACACTACAGAGTCATGCTAAAGTAATTGTACCAGTGACTTCCCGAAAAATTACCAGTTGGATTAATGATCTATTAAGGCTGTCATCATTTTCAAAATATCTTGTGTTTATATAATGTTTTTACTTCCTCACATTGAATTGGGCCTTAAGAACTAATGAATGGGAGAGTCCCACACTTAATTAAAGGCAAAGAAGTGGGTGGGATTGGATGGGAAACTTATTAGCAATGCTGGCATTCCAGACTGGAATACAGAAAGAAAGAAATCTAAATTCTACTAGGCAATGCAGATACTTAAATTACAAGACCTAACATCCCGGAGTACAATTTGAGTAGTAAAGCATACATCCATAATGTCTACATAGTTAGGTATATCAAAAGAAAACAACACTGTAACCAAAATCAAGGCTTTTTTTGGTCTTTGTTTGGTCCATCGTAGGGCTTGAACTCAAGCGCTGTCCCTGAGCTTTATTTTGCTCAAGGCAGCACTCTTACCACTTGTGGCTGCTGGGTGGTTAACTGGAGATAAGAACCTCCCCGCCTTTTCTGGCCGGGCGGTCTCGGAACCCCTATCCTCACATCTCCAGCTTCCTGAGTGGTGAGGGTTACAGGCGCGGACCACCAGCGCCGGGCTTTAGGTCACCTTTACTGTGAGCACTCCCAGGAACCTACGGGTTCAGAAACGGTGGATCAATCAGCGCACGACTTTGGAAAACTCTTCCGTTCTTTTGCGGGATCAACGCATTCGGATACTGAACCCACGTTCGAAGAAACTCTGGCCGGGCCGCGGGGCGCAGGACGCGGTTTTCCTAACAAAGCGCCAAGAGCCCTCGGGTCCCAAAGCCTCGTCCTGCAGACCTCACCGCGCGGCTCCAGAACAAACCTCCCCGGGACTACCCCCGGAACTCACCGGGGTCCCCCCCCCCAGGGGCTGCGCGACGCCCCCGCCGCCCCGCCCCTCGGGCCAGCCGGGCCCTGTGCCTTTAAGTCGGTGCGCCGCCGGGAGCGCGGGGGGTAGGGCCGGGTCCTCGCCGCCGCCTCCGCCCCGCCGCTCCCTTCCCCCTCCCACCCGAGTTTCAGGTGAGTGGGTCACCGGGGGAGGAGGCCAGCCCCGCCCCGCCCCGCCAGCGCCCACCTCCCGTCTGGCTCTCTCCCGCGGCGGCGGCGGCCGGAGTCCGAGGAGAGAAGGTTCAGAGCTCGCCGGGGCGCTGCAGGTGGGACCCGCGGGCCCGGCGGTGGCGCGCATGCCCGAGGGTAGGGAGGTGGGGGCTGGGAGGGGGGGCAGGGGCGGGTGCAACGGGGAGGGCCGATGAGAAGGGGGGGGGACGAGGCTGAGGAAACGGCGAGGACTGACTTCCAGCCGCGTCCCAGGCCAGGGCTGGCGGCCCGCGCGCGGCGGCGTAGGTGCCCTCGCCAGGTGAGCTGTCCCGGGCTCCCGCGGCCCCGGGCGGCCCGAGCTCGGCCGCGGAGGGTGGGAGAAGTGGGCTGCGGCGTCCGGGGAGCCCCGGGGTCCCCGCGAGGCGGCGGGAGAGGGCGGCGTCCGCGCCGGTTTCGGTGGCAGTTTCGCCGTGGAAGGCTTGGGGCTCGTGGGAACCCGAGACGCGTGGGTCCGAGGGACCGGCGCCGTGGGGACTTCGAGGAGGGGGGCTGTTTGCGACGGGGCGAGCGCCTCGGAGCCGCCTTTGCGGGGAGCGCGCGAGCCACTCGGAGCCTGGCGAAGCCGAATCTGCCCCGGGCTCGGGGGTCCTCGGGGAAGAGGGGGCGCGGCGCCGGGCTTCCGGGGGGGCGGGTCGCCCCAGGCCTCCCCCAGCAGGGCCGAGATTCCCCCGTCCTTCCCGCCTCTCCAGCCCCGCTCTGGGCACCCGGGGAGGGGACGAGGGTGTCCCGATTCCCTAGTGGAGTCCTCGGGCAATCGCGGTGCGGGGCCGGCCCGGCCACTGTGGGTCAGTTTGGGGGTTCGGTGAGCCCACGTTGGGGAGGGCGTGAGCCGGGGGTGGGTGGGATGTGCCATTTCCAGGGAGGCCAGACCTCGAGGGAAGCTGTTCACGCTTCGGAGCTTCACCCGTGAACCGAGCAAAGGCTGCCGCAGTCGGGTTGGCCGAGCTGCCCTCCGGGCCGTGCCGGCTCGACGGGCGCGCGCGCGGGCCGGGCCGCTCCCGGGCGGCGTGGAGCGCGAGGTCGCCAGGCCGCGCAGCCCGCGCCTGTGGCCCTCGGGCCGGAGGAGCGCGGGGCACCGGGAGCGGCGAACCCCTGGCTTCCTAAGGAGGAGCGGCCCAACTCCCTCCCCTCCCTCCCCCAGTAGCCGCTGGCATCCCCAGGCCGGCCCGAGGCTTCCCGGCCGACCGCCTGCCCCGGAGGGGAGTTACCCGGGCGGGGAGGGGGAGGCCGCTTTCCAGGCAGCCCCACGAGCTGCCCAACCTCGAGCACAACAGGTGCATTATTGGGATCCCGGGAAAAGAGAAACGCCTTTAGTGATTCTTGCCGTGGTTGCAAACGAGTTCTTTCTGGACCCTGCAACCTCAGGGGTGTCAGCGTGCCTTGGCTTCGTTCTTGAGAATCTTTGTTTTCTCCTCCAGGTGTTTTTTTGTCTGTCTGTCTGTCTGTTTTCAGAGATTGGCATTTTTAATAGTGGAGCCACGGGAATAGATGATGTTGTCCTCCGAAAACAACACAACACTTTATTATTTTTTTCTTTTGTAGCTTTGTATTTTATTAAGTTACCAGGTGATAGAGAGGTTAGTGAAATAAGTAAAACAGGTTCTCTACCTTCCGTCAGCTTCCGGACTTTTTAGGGAAGGAAGGAAGGAAGGAAGGGACAGTTCGTCCCGCGGATGAGGTTCAGCGTTTGGCTATTCTCATGATCAGAGCTCCATTTTAGGGGTGTGGCTCAGTGGTACCTGACCCAGTATTCCAACCCCAGCACCACTATTTTTTTTAACGAAAAGAAAAGCAGCAAACAAGAAATATTTGCCTTTATTTCAAGCAAGATGCAGATCATTTAAACCATAGGGACTAGTCTCTGGTAGAAAATTCCAGAAATACTTTCCCTAATTAGCTTTCAAGTTAGCCCTTTACAAAAAAAAAATTTTTTTTTCTCTCTTCCATCGCTAACATGAAGAGTGTGTGTGATTGATATGCTGGGCATGGAACCCAGGGTCTTGTGCCTACCAGGCCAGAATCTTATCGCTGAGCCACACCTCCAATCCCCTACAGACTTGGTGGACTTTGTTCCAGCTTTTAGGCTTGCAGTCCCAATGTATTTGTTACCTTGTGAATCAAGTAGGTTGTGTTTTGGGATGGAGCCTGGGGCCTTCTGAACAAGCTCTTAAGTGATGTCTGCCTTGTGTGTCCTTTACTCTCTCAGTTTAGCCAACCTGAACTTGCAATGTACTTTCTGTGTGTTAGTTGTGTGAAGATCAAGGCATTTGCTGCTGAATGGAAATCCCAATTCAAATATGCTGCATTGGTTGTATTAACTTAATATTGATTGACTATCTCTTGGTGCTAGGAACTGGTTCTGTATAGTGACCAGAGATAAGCAATGGTCAACACAGATATGTCAGTGCTTATGAAATGTTCCAGTTGGGGTAGAGAGGGTGGCAGGAGGGAGAGAGTGGTAGGAGGAGAGGAATGAATGATTCAGATATGAAGGGAAATTTGCTCTGGAAATAATGCAAATTTGCTGTAAAAGAGTACATATCCTGAAGGCATCTCCGAGGTTACATTTGAGTTGAGACTTGAATTTAGGAGTTTGACCAGCAAGATCAAGATCCTCTTTCTATCAACTGACTCCTTCATTCTGTGTGTGTGTATGTATGCATGTATTTGTGTATATATGTATGTATGTGTGTATGTATGTCTTTATTAGTGGAACTGGAGTTTGAACTCAGGGCTTCAAACTTGCTAGGTAGGCACTCTATCACTTGAGCCACACCCTCAGCCCGAGAATTGCTTAAAATACATGGTCATAGCTAGGCACTGGTGGCTCACACTTGGAATCCTGGCTACTCAGGAGGCTGAGATCTGAGGATCATGGTTCAAAGCCAGCCTAGGCAGGAAAGTCCTTGAGACTCTTACCTCCAATTAACTACCAGAAAACTGGAAGTGGTGCTATGGAGCTTTACTCAAGTGATAGAGCCCTAGCCTTAAGCAGAAAATCCCAGGCCCTGGGTTCAAGCCCTAAGACTAGAGCCAGAAGAAAAAATCATCTGTATATCTTACAAAGAATGCAGTTTTTGTTTGAGCAGATGAATCATTTGACTTTTATTTTATTATTATTATTTTTTGGTTGGTCCTGGGGCTTGAACACTGGCCTTGGGCGCTGTCCTTGTGCTCTTTAGCTCAAGGCGAGCACTCTACTGCTTGAGCCACAGCACCACTTCCGGCTTTCTAGTGGTTTTTTGGAGATCAGAGGCTCATGGACATTCCTGCCTGGGCTGGCTTTGAACCATGACCCTCAGATCTCAGGTTCCTGAGTCGCTAGGATTACAGGTGTGAGCCACCAGCACCTGGCAATTTTTAAATTTTTTTTTTTACAAAGGCTTTATGCTGATATTCCTATATTTGCCATCAAATTTTAGCACCACCCCCCTTTATTTTTTGGAGCCAGTACTGGGGCTTGAATCAAGGCTTTGTGCTCTTAAGCTTTTCTGCTCAAGGCTGGCTGGCACTCTACCACTTGAGCCACACCTCCACTTCTGACCCTTGGTGGTTAATTGGAGATAAGAGTCTCTTTGACTTGTCTGTCCAGGCTGGCTTTGAACCCGAATACTCACATCTCAGTCTCCTGAGTTGGGAGGATTACAGGTATGAGCCACCACTCAGCTTCTCTTCTATTACTTTCTTATTCTCTCTCCCCCCTTTATTTTACAGTTTTTTTGTTTTGTTTTTGTTGGTCGTGGGCCTTGATTTCAGGGCCTGAGTGCTGTTTCTGAGCTTTTTCACTCAAGGCTAGCATTCCCTCAATTTTAGCCACAGTGTCACTTCTGATTTTCTGGGGGTTGATTGGAGAGACAAATCTGATGGATTTTGCTGCCTGGGCTGGCTTTGAACTGAGATCATTAGATCTCAGCCCCCTGAGTAGGTAGGATTGCAGCTACTGGTACCTAGCAGTCATGTACTAATATCATATTAAAATTCAGTTTCTGACACAGTTTGTCTACTTCAAAAATCTGTCTGAAGGGGCTGGGAAGGTAGCTCAGCGGTAGAGTACATGCCTTGCAAGCATGAGGCCCTGGGTTCGATTCCTCAGCACCACATAAACAGAAAAGCCGGAAGTGGCGCTGTGGCTCCAGTGGTAGAGCACTAGCCTTGAGCTGAAGAGCTGAGGGACAGTGTCCAGACCCAGAGTTCAGGCCCCATGATGGGCAAAAAAAAAAAAAAAAAATCTGTCTGAGGCCAGGCACCAGTGGCTCACGCCTGTAATCCTAGCTACTTAGGAGGCTTATATCTGAGAATCATGGTTCAAAACCATCCTGGGCAGGAAAGTCCATGAGACTCTTATCTCCAGTAATCCACCAGAAAACTGGAAGTGGCACTGTGGCTTAAGTGATAGAGTGCTAGTCTTGAGCTGAAGAGCTGAGGGACAGTGCTCAGGTCCAGAGTTCAAGCCCTATAACCATCACCACCAACAACAAAAATCTGTCTGATATCAAAATGTAGGCAGTTTATTGATAATGTGCCTGTAATCTAAATAAAATGTAATATTACGCACAACTTAAACTTTTAAAAAGCTAATTGAGGGGCTGAGAAGGTGGCTCAGTGGTAGAGTGCTTGCCTTGCATGCATGAGGTCCTGGGTCCGATTCCTCAACACCACATAAGCAGAAAAAGCCAGAAGTGGCACTGTGGCTCAAGTGGTAGAGTGCTAGCATTGAGCAAAAGAAGCTCAGGGACAGCACCCAGGTCCAGAGTTCAGGCCCCACAACTGACCCCCCCCCCCAAAAAAAAGTTTATTTTTCATTGACAGTCATCTTTAAAAGAATAATTTGAGGGAAAAGCACTTTTTTTTCCCCCCAGTCCTGGGGCTTGAATTTAGGACCTGGGCCTGGGTGCTGCCCCTGAGCTGCTTTTTTGCTCAAGGCTAGCACTTACCACTTGAGCCACAGTGCCACTTTTGGCTTTTTCTGCTTGTGTTACTGAGGAATTGAACCCAGGGCTTCATGGATGCTAGCATCCCCAGCCCTGTTTTTAACCATTTCTACATTATACTTAAGGCTGAACCAGTGATCCTTTTAGTGTCAAGTTCTCCAGGCCAATCATTTCCTGTTTTCCAATTAGTCTTAAGATGTGTTTGTTTTAGATCTTTAACAGTGGTAGTGACCCTTCTGGAGAGGCACCTAGCTTACTATATAATGTATGAGTTTCAGTGTTTGTTTTGTTTAGAAGCAAGATCTTACACATGGTCTAGGCAGACACT